CATTACTAATCCTTAGAGGAGCTGCTGATCTATACTTAGAAAAGAAAGATATGAGGACTTAGCCAGGGCGAGCAGAATTTTGAGACTTAGGAACAACAGAGTAGATGTGGGGACACCACATATACAGGCCAATCTGTCCTATTTGCTGCCACCTAATAAAATTAATGCATAGGGTGGTAATTAAACCGATGTGCATTTAATCTGTTGTTCTCTATGTACATATATGATATATATTAAATGCAAATAATGCAGCTGTAATGTAAATATGGTAATTTACATCATTATAGCCTCATTTTTTTAAAAGGACCTAGCTAGACCTATTTCTTAGGCAAGGTGTATTATATAACTCTGAAAGCAATACAATCCCTTTGTAAATACTAATTATATCGGCTGTTAAACAATAATAACAAAATAGTGGTTATTTCTATGTATGCATTAGCAACAACGTGTATTTTAAGTAAACAAACATCCATGAACGACTACGTGTTTGTCTGCTGTGCTTGAATTATAAAACAACCCATCAGCTTTATTTACACGATTTTTTTATAAGAGTGGACAGACGGTTAAACATGTCTGATTACATTATAAGTTTTATAAACAATTATTTGTTGTTATGACTTGTGTATGCATGGAAATATAATGAAGATAACATTGATTTTTACAGTAAAAAATTGAATACACATCATTCCAGAGATGTACACACCGAACACATCCTACTTTTGTAACGATGGATGGTAACGTATAGCCACTAATATAACAGTAAATGTAATTGGATAAGCTACCCGAAACAAAAAATAATTTGCATATTCATGGGCGGACACGCAAATTGTGTCAGCTTTTGTTTTGATGGAAAAATGTAAACATTGGAATCAATGTGCCATTTTGACGTAGGAAACAAATTTATTTTCAATCTTGGATTAAAGGACATTGCGCACATTGCAATCATATCATGCATAATCAGTCATGTAAAAATATATCTTTTAATTTGTTTTCTACACTTAGGGAGCTACCATTTGATTTTTATGGGGGAGGGGGGGGGCTAGGATGAAAAATTGTGTCCTGCATTCTTTTTTTAGTTGTAATCTCTGTCGTGCCTTTTTATTTTTCACTCTATTCGATCCTGCCTTTTTTTATTAGTTTATCCTGACTTTTTTTTACATAAATTGTCATCCTACCTTTTTTTTTTGCCAAGTTGCTCATCCTGCCTTTTTTTTACTCAAAACTCCTGTCCTGCCTTTTTTCGAATTTCATCCTAGCCCCCCATAAAAATCAAATGGTAGCTCCCTTATTATTCTATGTTAAAGTTCCAACAGAACAGAACATCGTTCTCAAAGACGATGAAGAAAAAATATAGGTGGCGCTGTTTATGGGCGTGAACATTTTACATACAGTTGCTTTTTGTGTCCACCTGTCAGATTCCTGAAGGCGTTTGCCGTTCAACTGTCTACAGCTATAACTTTGTAAACAAAATACACATTCACCGCGTGGGTATAACCGTATTACTAATTTTCGATTCTTAAAAACTTCGTAAATCTTGATAAAGAGCATTATCTTTCGTAAGGATATCAAGATGATTCCGATTATTATTTTTTTTTAATGATTTTAAAGTTCAACTGACAAGAAAGGTTGACATTCTTTCAAGAAATATTTTGTCTAGCGATTGGTGAACATTGGTATGTAAAAAGTCCAAAACCATAACAAAACGGATCTATTTACATGATGATTTCTTTATGGATTGTAAAGACATGCACATACAAGCAAAAGCTTGTATAAATATGAAAAATATACCAAAGGAATAGCTCAAAATACCATTTAATAAGATTAAACATATGGACAGGTTAAGAATGAAATTCTGTATAGTACATAAGTATGTAAAATACGGAACCGAGTTCGGAAAGCGGCTTTTGTTATATTATAGTTCGTTTCTGTGTGTGTTACATTTTAATGTTGTGTTTCTGTTGTGTCGTAGTTCTCTTATATTTAATGTGTTTCCCTTAGTTTTAGTTTGTAACCCGGATTTGTTTTTTCTCAATCGATTTTTGAATTTCGAACAGCGGTATACTACTGTTGCCTTTATTTGGAAGCGGTAAATGACTTCTGGTCAGCGGTATAGGAAAATTGACTGCGTCATTTTCCAATAAAAACGTGAAACTTGATATATGCATTAATATAGTGCCATATGAAATGATAAATTCTCAAGATTGAGTAGTTTAACACAAACTCTGAACTTACAGAAGACCAGTGTTGATTGCTGAATAACACCTCATTCTTAAAGATGTTTGCTCTTGTTTTTGAATTATTGCCAGATATTTGGAATCCTCTGATTTTATCCATGTAGTGCCATTAAAACTTTTGCCCGCTAACCCCTACTTTTCTTTTCATTATTTTGTTACATATAGTTTAAAAAGCCATATTTGAAAATCTTATAAAATCCTTGTTATTTTTTCATTGTTTTAGAAAGAAAGAAATGTGGATCGTGTCCACATTTGGACACAGATGATGCCCCCGCTTGCATATCATATAGTTATAAGGGACATAACTGAATAACGGTAAAAGTGACGCTACCCAAATTTGAACTTGATCTGAGTTTTGTGGTAATAAGCATTGTGTGTAAGTCTCATAACATTTGGTTGAGGCTAACTTAAGTAGAGAAGAGAAACTAAAATTCAGCAATTTTTTCTATTTGTAAACATGCATAACTCTAGAATGGTTGTGTATACATTTTATAACATTTGATCTTAGTTTTGTGGTAATGAATATTGTGTATAGGTTTCATAATGTTTGGTTGGGGCAAACTTATGTTACAGAATGGAATCTAAAAATTTTGCAATCTTTCGATTTATAATGATTAAAGTGACACTACCCAAATTTAACTTGATCTGTGTTTTATCAGTGGAAGTCAAAAAAACATTGCATTGTAGAAAGCATTGATTGTAGTTGATTCAACTATAATTATGGACAAAGGAAGACAACTCCAATTTTAAAAATTACTTGATATTTAGAAGAAAATAAAAATTTTGCAATTTTTCCATTTATAAAGGGGCACAACTCTAGAACGGTTAAAGTGACGCCACCAAAATTTAAACTTGATCTGTGTTTTGAAGCAATAAGCAATAAGCATTCTTTTCTGCTTTTTCAGTTCATATCTTAAGATACTTTTAAATTTTCAAAAGCTTGTTATTTTCAAACAGATTAGCAACCATCCTTAAGTCATTGGTGTATAATAAGTTCATTTACAATTAAACACTATATTTATACTGTAAGTTCAGAAATTATTGAGAGGTTTCTATTAATGCAAATAATACAACTGGGTGTGTATAGTAATAATAACTTGCATCCTATTATCTGATGCATTTGTCAGTATGCAGCTTTTCCTACAATCGCAATAAATAAAATATAACATTTTTGTCCATTTTTCGAAATTCACAATAATAAATGATTGCAATAATTTCTTAATTTACAGTATGGTTGTGTTCTACGTCTTTTGGTATCATATTATATTGCTGGGTGTGTTCTATGTCTTTTGGTATCATATTTCATTGTTGGGTGTGTTCTATGTCTTTTGGTATCATATTGTATTGTTGGGTTGCTTTCTCACCGACTATTCCCCACCATCTCTTTTTAAACACTAAGTATAAACAAGAATTCTGTGAGTATTGCCTGGCAATACATAGTCCCCTACCGGTTAAAAATTCATTGTACTGGAACAAAATGTTAACTTGATCTATAACTTGTCATGGTGTAAACTATATACCAAAAATCAAGTCAATATCTTCAAGCATGACAAAAATAAGTGCAGAAAACTGATTATTTGAGTGAATTTTCTAAGTTCAAGGACCATAACTGCACAAAATCGTCAGACTGGAACGAAATTCGAACTTGATCTGTAACTTGTCATGATAAAACATTACACCAAATATCAAATCAATATCTTCAAGCACGAAGAAAAAAGTGTCGAAAATTGATCTTCCGGACTGACAGATGGACAGACAGACAGACGGAGTGCAAACCTAAAGTCCCCTGGACTTCGTTAGTAGGGGACTAATAAAAGAATGTGTCTGGTCAAGATACAAATGCCCATGCTCATGCTTTATTATTTATCAAGTTAATAAAATGCTTCGCTGAGCGCAGCCTGATACGACCGCAAAGGTCGAACCCTGAACAGTTGGGGCAAATTTGGACACAATATTCAAGCTTGATACTGTCTGAATTTGGATTATGATCACATTTTTGACATAATATAGGTTTCTGACACAAAATAAATGTGGTCAAAGATCTTACAAATCTATTGCTCAATACTGTGCAATTGAAGGTTTCTTCTTTCTTCTTGAAACTTTTCATAAATTTGAAATTAAAAAAATTTTGAAAAAAAATATGAACCCCTTAAAAGAATTGAAATCCCCCCCCCCTCCAAACTTTTTGAATCCCTCCTTAGAGCAATTACACCCAAACTCAATCCCAGCCATTCATTTGTAGTATGGAACCTTGTACAATTTCAGAGATATCCATTTACTTAAACACAAGTTGTTGTCTGGAAACTAGAACTAGAGGCTCTCAAAGAGCCTGTGTCACTCACCTGTATTTACTGATGCTTTGGAAATCATGTAAAATAAGGTTAAAATCATAATTTATAGTATTAGATATTAGATATTATAATGGTATCCAAGATAATAACAAATAAAATGCTCCGCTGAGCGCAGCTTGATACGACCACAGAGGTCAAACCCGGAACAGTTGGGGCAAGTATGGACACAACATTCAAGCTTGATACAGCACCGAATTTGGATTGTGATTAAATATTTGACACAGCATAGGTTTCTGAAACAGAATGAATGTGGTCTAAAACTTACAAAATTCTAATTTACCTATTCAAATCATATCATTATTATTTGCTTTTATATATAAATCAGAAATAACCAATTTAAAAAGGAGAATTTTCAGGAATAAAAATCCCCCCCCCCCCCAATTTTTTGAACCCCCTTATGATTCATCACCCCTAGCCTTCCCTTTGTGGTATGGAACCTTGCAGTACAATTTCAGAGAGATCCATACACGTGAACACAAGTTATGGTCTGGAAACTAGAAAAATGCTTGTTTTTTGGCCCCAAATTCCTAAACGTTTAAGGCAATTACCCCCAAACTCAAACCCGGCTTTCCCTTTGTGATATGGAACTTTGTAGTACAATTCCATAAAGATCTATACACTTACACACAAGTTATTGTCCTGAAACTAGAAAAATGCTTGTTTTTTGCCCCTTTTTGGTCCCCAATTCCTAAAATTTTGGGGCAATTACCACCAAAATCAATCCCAGCCTTCCCTTTGTGGTATGGTACCTTGCAGTACAATTTCAGAGAGATCCATACACTTGAACACAAGTTATTGTCTGGAAACTAGAAAAATGCTTGTTTTTTTGGTCCCCAATTCCTAAAATTTTGGGGCAATTACCCCCAAAATCAATCCCAGCCTTCCCTTTGTGGTATGGTACCTTGCAGTACAATTTCAGAGAGATCCATACACTTGAACACAAGTTATTGTCTGGAAACTAGAAAAATGCTTGTTTTTTTGGCCCCAAATTCCTAAACATTTAGGGCAATTACCCCCAAACTCAAACCCAGCTTTCCTTTTGTGATATGGAACCTTGTAGTACAATTTCATAAAGATCCATACACTTACACACAAGTTATTGTCCTGAAACTAGAAAAATGCTTGTTTTTTGCCCCTAATTCCTAAAATTTTGAGGCAATTACCCCCAAAAACAATCCTAGCCTTCCCTTTGTTGTATGGTACCTTGCAGTACAATTTCAGAGAGATCCATACACTTGAACACAAGTTATTGTCTGGAAACTAGAAAAATGCTTATTTTTGGCCCCTTATTCATCAACGTTTCAGGCAATTACCACCAAACTCAATTCCAGCTTTCCCTTTGTGATATGGAACCTTGTAGTACAATTTCAGAAAGATCCATTGACTTACAAGTTATTGTCATGAAACTAGAAAAATGCTTGTTTTTTGTCCCCTAATTCCAAAAATTTTGAGGCAATTACCCCCAAAATCAATCCCAGCATTCCCTTTGTGATATGGAACCTTGTGGTACAATGTCAGAGAGATCCATACACTAACACACAAGTTTAGTCTGGAAGTTACAAAAATGCTTATTTTTGGCCCCTAATTTCTTAAACTGTTGGTACCATAACCCCCAAAATCAATCCCAACCTTCCTTTTGTGGTATTGAACCTTATGGTAAAATTTCATAGAGATCCATTCACTTAAACTAAAGTTAGAGTGCGAAAACCAACGTGTCTATGGACGACGACGACGCCAACGTCATACCAATATACGACCCCAAAATTTTTTGCGGTCGCATAAAAACTGCAAAATTTCTGTAAAATTACTAACTCAGGGGCAGCAACCCAACAACAGGTTGTCGGATTTGTCTGAAAATTTCAGGGCAGATAAATCTAAATATGATGATCATTTATGCCACCTGTCAAATTTGCTCTAAATGATTTAGTTTCAGAGATATAAACCAAAGACTGCATTTTACCCGTGTGTTCTATTTTTAACCAAGTAGGCCATGATGGTTGGAAGGCGGGGTCATCCAACAAATTTTTTAAACTAAATACCCTAACAATGATTATGGCCAAGTATGGTAAACTTTGTCTCAGTAGTTTCAGAGAAGAAGATTTTTGTAAAATCTACATTTTACCCCCATGTTCAATTTTTAGCCATGGCAGCCATCTTGGTTGGTTGGCGGGGTCATCGGACACATTTTTTAAATTAAATACCCTAATGATGATTGTGGCCAAGTTTGGTTAAATTTGGTCGAGTGGTTTCAGAGGAGAAGATTTTTGAAAAAGCGAACGACGACAACGTGCCAGCAGCCTTCAAAGTAGCCTATGAAATGAAGTGGCCAACTGGCCATCAGACATGAAAATTTAGTCGCCAACTCAAAATTTCAGTGGCCAGGAAATAATTTCAGGTCGCCTACATTTTTTTCTAGCTAAACAACCCTTGCTAAATAAAAATATTAATTTTTTGTTCTGTGTTTTTATATTGTCGAGTGTAGAAAATAGTTTGTATAAATCAACTGTAAAATAACCACATGATTTATTTATTTTTATGTTTTAACTAACAATTTGTGACGTTAAGCGGTAGTCCGAAGCCCAGTAAAAAAAAATTATCTCATCGGACTTTTGCAGAAGCACTGGTGATTGCCCCATAGGTCAAGTGAACATCTGAAATCGTTTGCGAAATTGTAGCCGATATTTTATTGAATCCATGTCGTAGATTATGAGAACAAGTTACAAAATTGTCGCCGACCTTGTTTCATCTGTTAACTGACGAAATCGAGAACGAGGCTCGACCATGTGCTTTCTATAGACACTTTCTTTCTAACGGCATGCAATAGTGAAAGTTGTGACTGAGAGAAAAATACGAAAATAGATGGATCTGTGCCATTTTCAGTCAATGCTTACAAATGACCTAAAATTGCCTGATGCAATAAAGCACTGATAAGATCAAGCTTAAATCTAAAAGGCGCTTGAAATACAGTATAAATTTGTGTTACTGTCAAGCGCTCAGACAATTTTTTAAAACCAGACTCTGATCAGGGCAAATTTCTGGTCGCCAGAACTTCAATATTCTAATAGCCCAAATGGTGACCAAATATGAATTTTTGGTCGCCAATCAGCTTTTAAAGTTGCCAAGGCGACCATTTCAGTAAACTACATTGAGGGCTGGCCAGGTGAGCTAAAAATGCTGGTTTTTGGCCCCTTATTCCTCCATGTTTGGGGCAATTACCCCCAAACTCAATCCCAGACTTCCCTTTGTAATATAGAACCTTGTGGTACAATGTCAGAGTGATCCATGCACTCACACACAAGTTATTGTCCGGAAACTACAAAAATGCTTGTTTTTTGCCTCTTTTTGGCCTTTCATTCCTAAACTGTTGGCACCTTAACCCCCAAAATGAATCCCAACCTTCTACTTGTGGTCTTAAACATTGTGGTACAATTTCAGAGCACTCAAAATACTTATACACAAGTTATTATCTTAAAACTAGAAAAATGCTTGTTTTGGGCCCCTAATTCCTAATTTGGGGTAATCATCCCCAAAATCAATCCCAACCTTCCTTTTGTGGTATTGAACCTTTTTTAAAATTTCATAGAGATCCATTCACTTAAACTAAAGTTATTGTCCGGAAACCAAATGTGTCTTCGGACAACGACGACATCATACCATTATACGATCCCAAAAAATTTTTTGCGGTTGTATAAAAAGGGGCATAACTCTAGACCAGTTAATGACTCATAACCTTAAGTTGAACTCTGTCTGCATGTTGTGGTTCTTAGCATTGTGCACAAGTTTCATAAAATTTGCATGAGGCAAACTTAAGTTAGAGTGAGGAAATGAAAAATTGGACGGACAGATGGTCAAGGGTAACACTTAATGCCCCTTCGCCTACAGCAGCGGCATAAAAATAAAATCAATTCTTCGTAATTTTTTTTTATTTCTGCAGACACATCACAGTTTATTTGCCTTTCTTGGTCTTGATCTTTTTCATGTAGAATTCAAGTTCTTTTCCTTCCAGGATGTAGCCATCAGCCCTTCCACATTTTCCTGGTCTAGAGGACAGCTTAGCTAGAAAAATAAGGAAAGGCAAATTCTTAGTATTTCTGTCCCAAACTTTGAACTCCATAGATATTTCCTTTAGCAATGCATTAAGTTTACAAACTTTTATCTTTTTTATTATTTGAAATGACAGTTTAAAAATATAATTTGAAGAAAAAAATTCAAAGCAGGAAGGATAAGAAATATTTACCAAGCATTTTGTTACTTTCAGGAAAGTTTTGATAAAAACATTAAAGTCATATGAAAGTTCAAATGTACTGCTATAGAATTGTTGTCTTCTGGTACCCTAATTTGCCAATATTTTCCTGTATGCAGTGACATTAACTAAGAGACCTCTTGTTAGAACTTCCGCCCAAAAAAAAAAAATCAGATGAATAGCAACATTGATTATTAATTCAAAGTCGCTGGACCATGAACTAGTGGGCAGGGCCTCCATATAGTCAACAAACTGAGATGTACAGACAGAAATATTACTTTATAAAAAATATCGTTGTCTATATATTGTAAGTAGTTCCTATCAAACTCACTTAAGCATTTTTGTCGAGCCTTCGACTTTAGTCGAAAAAGCGAGACATAGCGATCCTACATTCCGTCGGCGTCGGCGGCGTCCACAAATATTCACTCTGTGGTTAAAGTTTTTGAAATTTTAATAACTTTCTTAAACTATCCTGGATTTCTACCAAACTTGGACAGAAGCTTGTTTATGATCATAATATAGTATCCAGAAGTAAATTTTGTAAAAAAATCAAAGCACTGTAAGCGCTGTAGGCAGTTAACCAAAAACCAAGGCAAAACTGTGGCAGTGTTGCTTCAATTTTGTTTTAAGATTTGAAAGAACAAACATTAAACATTCTTATATTGTAAATTTATGTTCATTAAATGAATTGATTATTAAGGCAAATTAACTAATATTTCATCAAGGTTTTCAAAAGCAACTCATATATCAATATAAATGACCCTCATCTTCACCCCCAAGTGCATTATGTTACTCCATACCAAGTTTGGAATAAAATGACAGGTGATTATAAAACAGTTGGTCCAAAATTCTCCAGCTTTACACTGCTTGAAAGATTTATATGTTTTCTTTAAAATGAGCCATAAATGAAAATTATTATAGGCCCAGAAATAATTTAATAAATAATTAAAGTAAATTCAATTAACCTAGACTCATTTTTTTGCATCAATAAAATTTTATATAAACAAGAAATAATTTTAACAGGATGCCATTACGAAGTCTCCCAAACAAAGCCCCCATAATTCGTCATTCCCATGGTCTCCTGACATTGGGCAAAGTCCAGTTCATATTGGTTTGGTCTAGTAAAGTGATATGCATATGTGACACCTAGGAGATTGACCCTGTATGTCATTCAAATCTTTTTGAAATGATGAACAGGAATAACTATGGTTTAGGTGTGGGTATCGCGACCGTTTACAAGTTCTCAAACAGGAGAGGGTGGGGTGTCCCAGTGACTCCCCCTATATTTCATTTGATTTGTATTATTGTCCCATACATGAATATATATGGTTTAGGGGTGGGGATCTCGACCGTTTACAAGTTCTCAATAAAATGCTCCGCAGGGCGCAGCTTCATACGACCGCAGAGGTCGAACCCTGAACAGTTGGAGCAAGTATGGACACAACATTCAAGCTTGATACAGCTCTGAATTTGGGTTGTGATTAAATATTTGACACAGCATAGGTTTCTGACACAGAATGAATGTGGTCTAAGAACTTAAAAATTTTAAATTGGACATTCACCTATTATGGTCCAATATCCAAAATCTAAAAACATGGTTAGATTCAGCATATCAAAGAACCCCAAGAATTCAATTTTTGATGAAATCAAACAAAGTTTAATTTTGGACCCTTTTGACCTCAATGTGGACAAAGTTGATAACGGGGCCCAAAAATCAAAAATCTAAATACATGGTTAGATTCAGCATATCAAAGAACCCCATATATTCAATTTTTGTTGAAATCAAACAAAGTTTAATTTTGGACCCCGATTTGGACCAACTTGAAAACTGGGCCCATAATCAAAAATCTAAATACATGTTTAGATTCAGCATATCAAAGAACCCTAAAAATTCAATTTTTGTTAAAATCAAACTAAGTTTAATTTTGGACCCTTTGGACCGTAATGTAGACCAATTTGAAAACGGAACCAAAAATTAAGAATCTAAATACACGGTTAGATTCAGCATATCAAAGAACCCCAATAATTCAATTTTTGATGAAATCAAACAAAGTTAAATTTTGGACCCTTTGGACCTCAATGTGGACCAATTTAAAAACGGGGCCCAAAATCCAAAAACTTAATACACGGTTAGATTCAGCATATTAAAGAACCCCAAGAATTCAAGAATAAAACCCCATTGAAATTGATCAAGAAATAAGCAATTTATACGAAGTATCTTCTTTTGCACAATACTGTGCAATTGAATATTTCTTGCTATTGCGCAATACTGTACAATTGACAATTTCTTGCTATTGCGCAATATTGTGCTATTGGATATTTCTTACTATTGCGCAATACTGTGCAATTGAAGATTTCTTGCTATTGCGCAATACTGTGCAATTGAAGATTTCTTGCTATTTTGCAATACTGTGCAATTGAAAATTTCTTGCTATTGCACAATACTTATTATATAATAATTTACACATCCTGTTTGGTGTGTATCTCCTACCATATCATTATTATTTGCTTTTAAATATTAATCAGAAATAACCAACTTAATATGGAAAATTTTAAAAGAAAAAAAAAAGGAAAAAAAGAAAAAAAAAGTAAAAAAAAATCCCCCCCCCCAAATTTTTTGAACCCCCTTATGATTCATCACCCCCAAACTCAATCCCAGCCTTCCCTTTGTGGTATGGTACCTTGCAGTACAATTTCAGAGAGATCCATACACTTGAACACAAGTAATTGTCTGGAAACTAGAAAAATGCTTATTTTTGGCCCCTTTTTGGCCCCCAATTCCTAAACGTTTCGGGCAATTACCCCCAAACTCAATTCCAGCTTTCCCATTGTGATATGGAACCTTGTAGTACAATTTCAGATATATCCAAACACTTACACACAAGTTATTGTCATGAAACTAGAAAAATGCTTGTTTTTTGCCCCTTTTTTGCCCCCTAATTCCTAAAATTTTGAGGCAATTACCCCCAAAATCAATTACAGCCTTTCCTTTGTGATATGGAACCTTGTGGTACAATGTCAGAGAGATCCATACACTTACACACAAGTTATTGTCTGGAAGTTACAAAAATGCTTATTTTTGGCCCCTAACTCCTTAACTGTTGGTACCATAACCCCCAAAATCAATCCCAACCTTCCTTTCGTGGTATTGAACCTTATGGTAAAATTTCATGGAGATCCATTCACTTAAACTAAAGTTAGAGTGCGAAAACCAATGTGTCTTCGGACGACGCCAACGTCATACCAATATACGACCAAAAATTTTTTAATTTTTGCGGTCGTATAAAAAGGAGGGGGTGGGGTGACCCCAGGGACTTCCCTATATTTCATTTGATTTGTTTTATTGTCCCATACATGAATATATATGGTTTAGGGGTGGGGATCTCGACCATTTCCAAGTTCTCAAACAGGAGGGGTGGAACGACATCGGGGACTCCCCCAAATTATTTTCATTTGAGTTCTTTTATTGTCCCATAAAGTATATATATTGTTTAGGGGTGGGGATCTCGACGGTTTACAAGATAAAAGTACATTTTCAAATTGAAGGGGGTTAGGATGACCCCCAAGGACTCATCCTATATTTTGGTTGATTTTTTGTATTGTCCTGTTCTCATTACTGAAGACTGCATGTGTCTATCACTTACTGTTTTCGAGAAATAGTCATTTGAAAATTAAAAAAAATAAAATCCCATAGGGTTCTATAGTAAACCCCTCCCTTCTTCAGGCCCCTCCAAATACCCCTTAATAGACCCCAATGCACAAACAAAATATTAATGGCTCCGCTAGACATGTTAGTCTAATATTTATGAAACCCTAAGTAAATCTGACAAACGGTCAAAGTTGTCTTCTTATACGGTTTGAGTGGATTCGGTCCGACTTGTCTCGGGGACGAGTTGTCCACATTACTTAAAACATCCCATTAACGTCGATTTCCGCATTTGTTTCATGACATCGTTTCATTCATAAAATAACAACAACCTTATTTGGCAAGATAAGTTAAAAATTTCCGCCCACTTATATAACTTTATTTCCTCTATCATAGAGATTTGTTGTACATGAACAATATTCCTGCGCATTTTGCCATTTGGGAAATATAAACGACTTGTAATTACCGATTTTCGGCGATGAAATATTTCATACAATTGTTCTTTGACATCGTAGCCAAAAGCACAGGGGATAATAAACTACGTACGGATTTCTATTGAGCACTACTTCCTATGTGCAACTTCAAAAGTTTTGGGTAGTTCGACGATCATTTAAGGTTTTTATGGTCATATTGTTTGTATTCCAGAAATAAAAGTATTAGAAAAATGTCTAATTAGTTATAAATAACATAATAGCCTGCTAGATAATAACAATGGCACGTATTTCAGCGTTTATTGGGTACAACACAAATCTAGGGTGCTCGCATAAGGCAGCTTAACTGCCTAAAAAATCCATTTATTCCGTATTTTACTTTTAAATGGACTTAGATTTTCTGCCAGGAAACAACACATTCACTCTGTGGTTAAAGTTTTTAAAATTTTAATAACTTTCTTATACTATTTTGGATTTGTACCAAACTTGAACAGAAGCTTGTTTATGATCAAAAGCTAGTATCTAGAAGGAAATTTTGTAAAAAAATAAATCCATTTTTTCCGTATTTTACTTTTAAATGGACTTAGATTTTCTGCCAGGAAACAACACATTCACTCTGTGGTTAAAGTTTTTAAAATTTTTAATAACTTTCTTATACTATTTTGGATTTGTACCAAACTTGGACAGAAGCTTGTTTATGATCAAATGCTAGTATCTAGAAGGAAATTTTTGTTTT